TCCTAGCTTGGTTGAACCAGGAGACTCTTTATTTTTTTTTCTCTCCTGTTTGTTTTGAGGAAGGTGAAATTTCTAAAGACTTAATTTGTGTGAATATCTGAAAAAATACATTCCACACACAGGCTACACTATATCTGAGGAAAAAAAATATTAATCTCCTTCTAGCTGTTTCAGTTGTTGATAGGAATTTACCTAATGTAAAACTAAATGCATTTCCTCTGTTCTAATTCTGATCAGGTAGCTGAATTCTTAGTTAGCCTTCAAACTAGGGGAAGCCTCTTTTTCTCTCCCCCCCCCCCCCCCCCCCCCGGCTCTTGTATCTTGCGCTGCTCAAAGCAAAAATAAAGATTTTGTTGAATAGTTTTACCAGTAGTATTAAAGCTTTAGGCCTTATCTGAACAGGACTGAACTTCTCCCTAATAGCTACTTTAGTCTTTGTGAAGCATTTCTAGGTACTATCTAGTGGTTTTTAGACTAAGTACCCTTTCAAAACTTCAGAATTTAGCAGCACCCCATTTAAAAACTGATATACATTCTATTATGATAATAGGAATATTATAATCCTAGAGTCTGGGGATGCCCAGCTGGCAAGGACAAGGTGCTGGGACAGAAGGCCTGGGAAGGGGGCAGGCTGAGGCTGTTTCATAGTTTCCTATGCTACTATGGAATGAAACTGCCCCCTATACACCTTGGTTTCCAGAAGACACATCAGGGCTGAACTGAGAAGCAGTTGCAGCAAAAAAATGCTTCTGTTTTATACAGACAAGTATGCTGCTGCTTTGGTTCTGACGCCTCCTGAAATCTGAGGCACAGGAGGCAGTTTCTACCTGTAGCACCTCTGACTTCCTTGCAGCACCCTGGGTGAGGTGTATTGCTTTCATAATGGCTTGGCTCTCTAAACAGAAAGCCTACGTATCACGACTGGGGGTGGGGGGAGGGTTCCAGAATTTGGAACCCTTGTTTCCTTCCTTCTGTTCCATGCCTTTTCAAATTCTTTATTCTTTCTAATCCTATTTGTTAGGACTCGAGAAGTCTTCTGGAGTGGCTTTCTTACTGATTTTGGGTTGATTTTGCACATTTTGCTAGTTCTTTTATTGGAAATCCTTGCCAAAGACACGATAACTGCTTTGTTTTCCTAAACGTAGATTTTTGGCATGTGTTGGGGTTTCCTCCTACCCCCCCCCCTTCCCAGTTGGAAGATATCAAACATGAACACATGTTTACAAACGTGTATGTGCAGTGAATGACACGGCAATAGAAAGATTAAACTGCATAAACTACTTAAGCATGGAATAAAGCCTCTCCAGAAACAAAATGTGTATTTAATTGTAGATATCAGCATCTAGGTTTTTAAACTTACTATAGAATGCTGTTATCTCTTACTCCTTCTCTCCACCCCCTACTCCCCACCCACCAGCTAGAAAAGTGACAGACATGTAAGGAGGATTTTGTCCTAACACCTGCAGAACTTGGTGGCATTTAGGGCTGTGTTACTCTGGTGCCATGGCACTGTTCTTCATCACTGGCAGAATGTATAACTTTTTTATATGCATTTGCAAGGATCTGAGTAGGAATACAGTAGGGACAGGCACAGAAGGTTGAACGTAAACTGCCCTGCTGGTTTCTTTATTTATAGCATCGCCTGTTCTGCCTTTCTTTATCCACTCCTGAAAAGTACTGAATCTGATCATATGTGTCTATTCACTTCCTTAAGTGTTTGTAAACTGTGAGGAAATTAATGGCTTGAACAGAGCACCCTTAGGTTTGACATTTCCTGTGCATAAACTACTGTCCTGAATAAGTTGTTTCAGCATCCAGAAGTTGGCCTAGGCTGGGGTTATCAAACCATCCAGCCCACAAGCTGAATGAGGGATGTGGGGTCTGTCCACTGGCCAGATCTGGCCTGTTGACTGGCATTGTGCCTGCACGCCAGCCCTTGTGTTCCGTGGCATGCATGTGCTGGTCTGGGGCATATGCTTCATGCTGCACTCATGCAGAGGCCGGTCTATGGGCTTGACTCAGGCTGGCCCCTGATCCAGCATACAGGGCTGGTCTGGCATGGACACTGCATACAGTATGAGCCCTGGATTGGCCCCATGTGCATCATGCAGCACATGCCAGACCAGCTGTACAGGCTGCATGCAGTGCATAGGGCTGGGGCATGTAGGTCCAGCCTGAGACCCACCCTCGTGGGCCATATTGTTGGCACCCTTGGCCTATAGGCCAGTCCAGTTTTAATTGCCACTCTAGCAACTGCACTTGTAAATGACCCAGGCACACGATGGCCACAGTATTACTTTTAACTACTCCAGATCTACATGACAATTGCAGCTGCATTTTGGAAGTCATTGGAGTGGGACTGGTACTGAAGCTGATAGTTGCATAAGGGATGTTGATGAAGAAACTTAAACCTTCGTGTTTCAAGTGAGCTGTTCTGACATTGAAAGCATACAACCCTTGGATATTTAACTTTGAAATAAATGGAAATCTCAACATCAGTATTACGTCACTACCTGTTTCAACATAATGCTAGCTTGTGTATTTCAAATACTGTTTTAGGTTGCCTATAATGCAAGAAGATAATACTTTTAATGCTTCTCTGCAATTGTCACTTCTTTAAATACCTTGGATTTTAAACACACTTGTCATTGCTTCTGCATGTTATTTACCTCTTAATGCTGCAGCCTTTTGGGATGCATAAGGTCCTAAGCATCATTTTCAAAAGCTGCACTTTCAGGGAATTCTGTGTCTTACAATATTGGAGAGGCAAAGATTTCTTAAGGTGATGTCTTTTAATGGCCCGAGTATGTAGGTGGGATAGAGTTAGACACTTCTGAATGCAAGACATTCTTAATCAGGCTTGATCAGAACAAGCAAGAAACTGTAAATTTTAAGCATCTGTACTTGATTTAGGTATTTAAGTGTCTTTTAACTATAAGAATTATAAGCACCTCTGGTCTACTGGCCTGCCTTCAGACCCTTGCACTTTCAGAAGTGCATTTCATACTGAAACAGTCATGCTTCAGGGCAGGAGTTAAATCCAACTTGTTGGTGGGTTCAATTATTCAGAAATGGTAGGAGATCAATTCACTCCAGTAGTCTATAGTTCTGTAACTTAACAGCTCTAAAGCAGAAATAGTTGAAGTGGAAACTTGATGTGTATTAAATAGCCCTTGATTTGAGGAGTGCCTTTTGTCTGAAACTGGAGTTGGTTATAGTCTGCTAAAAATGTCACCGATGCACAACTTCATAGAACTTGTGGCATCTGTAATGTCAGCCAGGCTGCATTGTGCATGGTTATGGCATCAGGTATACGCAAGTGTCCTCAGAGCAGCTGTTTTAGGGAAATATCAGGGCAGGCAAAGGGTCTTCTTGATGTGATTCCTGAAGACCTGTTTTTTGTATTTCCCCTTCCCCTCTGACTTTAATTTTCCACTCTTTACATTTCATTTAGTGATACTGCACAGCAGAGAATGTGTAAGCTACTGTTGCCCCATCTTACAGATGTTTTAACGTTTGCTGTACCCAAATAACTATTTCTTAAAAAAAAAAAAAAGAGAGAGAGAGAAACATTTACAGGAATTTGAAAGGCAGCATATGATTATTTACCTTTTTGTCACCTTTTAAGATGCTCTGTAATGGGACACTGGCATTGGGTCCCCTGTGCTCATAATACAGAGGCAAAGTGACTTACCTGGCTAGCATTTACATAGTGGTTTAGGTTATAGCACAGAATCCAAAAGTTTGAGGTTTTATGATACCAGGTGTCATAACTCCTGTGTCTGCATGCTGTGTTACTTCAGGTGAGTCCCTTACTTTGGAAAGAGGAGTGTATTAATATTTAACTGGTTAGGGAGCTCTTAGGTTTAATTAGGGTTGACCTGTTGTGTTTTATTTTGTTTTGTTTTTTTAAAATCTGTCAGATAACAGCCATTTATAATATGCAGATTGGAAGCATGGTTTATTCTAGCTCTTTTGCTTTCTAAACAACCTAGATAGGATTGAAGTTTTTTCTCTAGATGGAGAATTGAGACCTGGAAGTGTCTTAAATGCATTCAGAGAGAAACCTACTGCAGCAATGATGCTGTGAGGCTCTGCTGGAGCAGATGGTGGTCTAAGCATTAAGTTTCAGATATTCCCTGGGGAACTTTTGTTAAAATCTGTACAGGTTGGCTCATATGCCCACCCTTGAGGTTAATGTACTGAATTCCAAGCAGGTCAGTGAGTTAGATTATTGGTTTTTTGGCCTCAAACTGTCACCATTGTATGAAGGTACAGAGTACTTTCTGATAACTCTTTGTAAGGGTATAGGAGCTCATTTTGATGTTTCACTGACTCTTATACACACACATTGGAAGTGTCTGGGTCGTGTGTTATCCCCTGCTTAAAATTGCTAGATAATAGGTGCTAAACAAATTTTAACTGCCCCTCATGGCATAGTCAAGTCTGGGTAATTCATTACTCCAAGGGGGATGTAAACAGTGGCAAACTCTGCAGTACTGACCAGTTATCAGGAAGAAATGTTTGGGTGAGAGGACACTGGTAGGGAATTGTAACAATGGTGAATCAAACCATTGGCAAATTATCCTATGGGGAAATCAACTGGAGCTTAGTGCATTTCATTAGGCCATAGTGTATTGGGACAGCTGTGTTTACAAGGATGCTCCTCAAAAGATTGAGTAGCAGTGACTTGTTTGGGATTGTATTAAAACGCATTAAGTACAAAGCACTCAAATGGTGAGTAATTAGGTATAGAATTTTAAGATGAAATGGAGGCTTTGCTGAAGGACGGCTGTGTACTCTGCCCTTCACAGAAAAGCATTAGTCTGACATTATAACTTCCATGGGGCACAGAAGTACTTGTTGGCTTTATCAAACTGAATCTAGCTGAGTAGTTTCATGCTACTTGGCCAACTGGCAGTGTTTTAATGCACTGGAGTGTATAATTCTGTCACTCTTTTCCCTTCTCCCCTCCCCTATTTTTATTTTTTTAACTGCAGGTAAAGAGATTACTACTATGCAGACTTCAGAGTTAGAACTTTAGTTTTGTGGCTGAGCACTTGAATCGGGGAATTGTCAAAGGTAAGGCTCCATATTTAGCATTTCAATTTTGCCTCTTATGATGCGGTTCCACAATCAATATTTAATAAGATGATAATGTACTAGTTCTAAAATGGTAACCTTGTTCTCCTTTTTTTTTAAAGTAATTTTAGCACTTGTCATACCCGAAATAAATTGTCTGTATACAGTATTTTTGTTTCATATAAAAAGAACCTAGCATTTCACATGCTAAAGAGTAGTGAAAATGGGCTGCTAAGCTTATAGAAACCTCAGTAAGCCCTTATATTAATGCAAATAACATGAATATTTTCAGCTGCTAAACACTTATGGTATAATTGATTTTTTTTTCATTGCACCTGCCAACTGCAAATGTATTGAACCTAAAAATTGGCAGCAAACATTTTAAGTTCCCTTTCTGTATGCTTGCTTTTCGTTAAAGAGTATACAGACAACTTGAAGTTCAATTTTTTTTTTTCTTTTTTTAATGGTTTGAAGGGTTTTACGTGAAATGTATCCAACCAGTTTTCTGTATCGGTGTATAGTTCAGTCATGTTGGGCGAAGGTAGTGAGGAAAACCTGGGAATAAGAAGACATTTCTTTTCTGCAAGGAAAATCTTTTAAATTTAGTCTTATTGACACTCGCATACTAAAACGCATAAGGATGTGTAAGGGTTTACTTGTGAGAGATGCCAGTACCTTTGAAATCAAAGCTGTTGGGTCATCATGGCTACAGTACTAACATATGTGCAAACCATGTTTGTTATATAACAAAAATAGCATGTGCAGGTTGGGAGGAAACTGGTCTAAAACAGGGTTGTAAGGTTGTACTAAGATCAATTTGTACCTGTGTGATTCACAGCTTGCTCAATTTGCAGTGGGTTGCCAAATTAAGAGATGCTCAGCTGTTTTCTTGTGCCTTTGACTTCAGAGCATGTTGCTGCTTTGATCATCTGAAACAGCGGCTCTCCACTGGGGGTCTGTGGCTCCCTGCAGGGCCTGTGAGCAGGTTTCAGGGTGTCT